TGCTGGGCGGGGAATTGGACGGAGGCTGGCACGGAGTGAAGGGAGAAGTGACACACCCACGAAGCAAGAGGCCAATGTTGCAGTGGCGTTGGTGAAGCGTTTTCCATGGGGTGAGCTGAGATGTTTCTCCCATGGCGCTTAGCTGTGCCCGCGCCAGCCCGCGTTTTTTATCTTTTTGACTCCACAGAGTGTCCAGGCTTTTGATTTTTGCTTGCTTGGCACTCCTCCACAATGGGAGTCAACGAGTCACGACGACCCATCGGGATGCCAAACCCACGGGAATTGTGTACTTCAGCGTGGTCAATCTGGATCAGTGAGCGGAGACCTGCGGCACCTCATTCTGCGGCGAGTATCTCACGCACTGTCACTGGTATCAGCGCCTTTGTGTGTCTGCCCCATGACCGGCATTTGTATGGCGCACGCCCTTGGCAAGGCTGAGGGAAAGGGCGGGGATCCCCACGGGCACGTGTCTGCAGTCAGAATGCGTGAATTGTGGACTTGTTTGTGCGGCAAGGCAGCAGGTCGCTCAGGAGAAGCAGCAGAGACTGGGAGTACACTTTCTAGCGGCGCGTGCTTGGTGACTCCTGAGGCGAATGCCCCAAAGGGACGTATGTGGGTGATGCAGATGCACTGGATATGCACAGTGCCATGCTTCGTGACAGGGAGCGAGGCAGGTGTAGCGTGATTCCTCCTGCCACGGACCTGTCAACTTTTGAGGAGTTGGAGTGAAACTAAGGGGACAAGCGTGTGTGTCTTCACTTTCTTGCCGGAGGACGCGCAGAGGTTGGTTTTCTTTTGTTACTTTGTTGTCACGGTGCCTGCGGTGACGTTAATGGGGGGGTTTGTTTTCCAGGGGCATTCATTGTGCGATTTGTGCGTGTTTGGTGTCTAAAGTTTTCCGCGCCGCCAAATGGGGTGTTGCGCAGGATCGGAATACATGGATGTGCAAGAGCATTGTGTTGCTCGCTCGTAATAACACACACGCACACAGTTTCAGTGAGTCTGATACTTCGCGTTCTTCAGAACGGTCGAATTCACTTGTTGGACATCACTTCATTTGCGGCGTCGGGAAAGTGAAGTAAATGGAGAGATATGCCGAGAACGTGGTGCTCCTCCATAATACCGCGGGCTGGCGGCGACAAGGATCAGGGAGCCTCTACCCAACATTGAGAAGACGGCAGCGCTCTGATGATCCGGTTTGCTCTTTAGGAACTCCTAATGTCGTGCACACCGTGTGGACCCTTTTGCTGCGGATATGCAGAGGGGTGAGGTGGGGTGGAATTATTGTTGAGGGCAGAACGGACGCCGCCTGACCTTTATGGGAGGGATGCGTGGCGTTATTCCGTGTTTCCTGGCCTGCGTTGTCACACTCATGCTGTGAGTGCGGATGGCCACAGCAGTGGAGCTGAATACGGTTCAATGTGTTTTGCTCACGGGGACTGCGCTACACATGTTTTTTGTTGGGAGGCCCAAAGGAGGGGCGCATCGCCGTTGCGTGATTCCCGCGGCAGTCCATTACCCTGCGACTGTGCATGCCGCCGTCCGCTGCGCCACTGCAAGCCTTCGTCTTTGTGAGAAATGGGGAGCGTGACTGCTGTGGCGGTGGTCGAATGTTCCCGAATTGGTGCTTTTGGTGATCTCACTTGGAGCGCCGAGCAGCGAGGGGCCGCACACGCCCAGGAGGTGGGAGTGTGTGCTGCAACCGCACCCGCGATTTGTTGTTGGGATGTGACAAGTTTCTTCGTTATTTTTATTTTTGGTGATATGCGGGGCAGCGGTGTGTTGGCGTGTGCGGGCTGCTCATGGTTGCGGGTGTTGTCTTTCCTGCTTTTCTCCCGCTCAGCTCCTTTGCGTGCGACGGACCAAACTTTTTACGGGCGTGTGGTGGGGCCGCGTTCTTGTTTGGAAAAAAAGCCTTTCGCAGGCGTAATGAGACTGCCGTCCGTGCCACACGAGGCAGCGGGGAGTTTCCTGGGATTTATTGGCGGGGTGGCACCGCACTCATGCCGTGTGGTTGATTTGTATTTTGCAATGCACGGTGGGGGGGATGTGCGGTGACAACTTCCTCCAGTGGAGCGACACGAGCAGCACGGGGAGCGGAACGGAGGAGTGGCGGCTGCGTGCTTTCCAGTGATACGTGAATGGCGAATGCAATAAGAAAGGCAGCGTGACGGCACTCTTTTGCCATGCACACCGCAGATATTTTCCATAAAGCATGCAAGTTACACTCTTTTCTGTTGTGTGTGGGATTACCGTGATGCATCGCTGTTGTGGCGTGTATGATTTGCGGTCCCTGCGTGTGGCCGTTGCTGCACCGAATTTACTTTTTATTTTGTGTGTCAGGGGCTATGTGCCCACGTCCTCTTGTCAAGTGTGTGCGGTGGACGGCGGTGCCACAGGGGTGCGGGACCGTGGCGAGCGGTATGCGTGGACGAACTCTCCACGCCCACCACGTTGTTGTTGTTTGCTCTCTCAAACACTGTGCTGGGTGGATGGCACCCAATTTCCGTCGTTGTTGTGGTCCTCGTGCATGTGGTGTGCCGTCACAAAATGTGAGTGACTCTCTTTTTTTGGCTGTGAGTCATTTCTGTGAATGTTGTTTCCCTCTCATCATTATTTTTGTTGTTGGCTAGTGTTGTGCTGTAACTCAATCCAACTAAGAAAGCAAGGAGAAACAATGCCTGGTGGGTCCATGAGAGTGCAAGGTGGCAATGCCGAGAGTCAAGCGTCTGCTGTGCCGCAGGGAGATGGTCAGAGGAGAGCGAGGCAGGGGTTTGAGAGTGAGACAGATGAACCTGATGAGACGCGCAGAAGAGTGGAGGAAGCGCGGCGACCGCAGTGGACACTTTTGAGTCGGGTGGAGGATGTAATGCTGGAGGGAAGCACTAGCAGGACCAACATGAAGCTGAATGATTTTCTTAGGAATCATGTTGGCGGCAGGGCGGCCGTTGATGAAGAC